TAACAGTAATAGAAAACTAACTAAAGATAGAATAGTATCTACCAATACAACTGTAGAAATAATATATATATATATATATATATATATATATAGAAACTAGTAGAAATCTAAGCACAAGATTTAATAACACTTAAAAGGACCATCACCTTAAATGAGCACATAAAAACTTAACCAGAAAATAAATTATGAAAACAGATATTGTGTGTAGACCAAGGTGGAAACAAATGGAAAATTAAAGAAAAGGTACTAATAACAATACACAAAACAAACATAAATATACATACAAGCTGTCTTTTACATTCATTGAACACACAGCTTCTGTTTAAAGTCAACATAGATTCTATTTTCTCTCTCTCTTTTACACCCAAGGAAGCTTCACTGAAGAAGTAACATGTCTTGATATAAGATTTCTTTTCTGCCCAAGAGCAGCTGAAGCTTTTTCAGAAATTTAGAAGTTCACTAGTAAAATATATACTGACACAAAAGGATTTTTAATCACCCTCTCTCTCCTTGCACTAAATGCAAAGTAACATGACTGTAAGTAAAAGAAGTTATGATAAAAAGAATCATGTACTCCAAAAGATATGTAAAATGTAAAGCCAGTTGAGAAACTCTGAAAAAAAGCGCTCGCTGATTTGCCACTATCTATAAATACATTCATCAAAGGATTTACAGACTGAGTAGATTATGCTGGATTTGACATTTTTATAGACTGTTACTACCTAGGATACAAAAAATGCACAGCAACTGTGCTGTATTAACAGGTGATGAAAACTTCAAATTGAGTTATTAAAATGTCATACATACTTTTCTATTTACTTAAAATACAATTAGTGTAAACTGAATATTGATTTCATTAATTTATTTTCTTTTATTTGGTTTACTTAAAATATTCATTCCAAGTTACATTAGGGCTGCCTGTTCTAGCTGTCTCTACTTTTGAACTGACAGATTAGAAGGAAGGCAGCTAATCAACACCTACCACTAACAACTTTTGGACTACTCTTTACCAATGAATAGTTGGATTGACCATCATATTATAATGCCACAAAGGCTAAAAGGGAGAGCATATTCAAAAACATATTTTGATTCTGAAATCCACAGCTTGCAAGTCAAGTGCCCTAAGTATTGTTGAAGATTGCAACTGACTAATCTAAAGCCAAACAAAAATCATAAATTTTTATCTACGAATGAAAGTGACACTTGAGAACATTAAAATGCCCACACTATTTTAGTAACTTTTCTATAGGGAAATATTTCATATCCCTTGATGGTAAAATCAATTGTTGAGAGAGAGAGAGAGAAAAAAAATTGTGGAAATTGAAGGCTGCATTAAGAAACATATCTGTGTACAAAAACAGGATGAGTTTTCAATAGATCAGAGATAAAATATTCAATTAAAATATGCTGTACTTAAAAACATTTACAAACTAATATATCAGAATTATAACACATGATGAAATATATAATTGAAATCAGCCAGATCTCAAAACTTTTGTGGATATTTCAACAAACATTTCATCAATATCATAGAATGTGTCAGTGAAAGTAAAATTCATGAGAGATTTAAACAAACTTATTTTATAATAACTTATACTCTGAAAAACCACAAATGTTACAGAAATATTTCTTATATTCAATTTGTCATTTTATTTTTTGTTTGAATTTTTCCATGTTTATTTCAAGAAAAAGGAAAGAACTGGTTTCAGTTATACTACTACTAAGCCACATTTTTGACTGAAAATAATTTCACATATTTTCTATGATTCTTATTTCAACTATTAAAAGTTTTATACCTTTGTAAGTTTATAAAAGATGACTACAAGTTACAATTTTCCTCCACAGAAAATGTATTTCCAATACATACTTACCTTATCAAGTTTTCTTGATTATTACTGCCATCTATATCCTCAAAATTTTCCCTCGCCACTAGCCTTGATACTCCCATCTACCCACATGTTTAATGGTTCAGTTGCACTGTAGCATGTAAATAATCATGCGACAACCCTCCACCAACAGGAGTGGTACACACTCTCCTCGTGCAGCTCTCCCTGAATTATAGTCTAACCTCACTTTGAGATTAGGCACCAAGAACAAAAACACCGGAAGTAGGTAGAAAGGGTGGGAAGTGTGAGAAGAGATAAGTATCTATCAGAAATACATTTTCTGTGTAATAAAATTTATACCTTCCAATACAATACCTTACCTCTTCTCACATAAGAGCTAGAATTCCATATTGATCTGGTGTAACCTTACCTAGATGAAGCCCCCTTCATAATGTATCTAAAGACAGCCCATGGAGTGTGACAACTCTCTGAAGAGAAATCACTTGTGACAGACACCACCTCATCTGAACCAGGTATATTCTCTGCCCTTTATGAAAAACTGTTTCACTAAATGAGCAGAAAAGAGGCACATACAATAAATAGTAGAAGATGTCCTAGAAATAGAGTGGACAGGAAAGTATGGAAGAAGCCATGTAAACAGCTCCATCCTCAAACTGTCAAAACTGAGAATGGTATATCCAGTCTCCAAAAGGAAGAGGTCCTTGACCAACTGAGGTTGGACTTGCCCATAGTGTAGAGTGACTAGGACATGTCAGACCATAATCGGGAGATCAACTCCATCCTCAAACCATTGAAACAGGGATTGATACATCCAGTCCCCAGAAGGAGGAGGTCCTCAACCTATTGGGAGATCAACTCAATCCTCAAACTGTTGAGACTGGGAATGATATGTCTAGTACCTGGAATGAAGAGGTCCTCAACCAATATAGGGATCAACTCTATTCTCAAACCATTAGTATCAGGAATGACATTTCCAGTCCCCAGACAGATGAGATCCTGAACCAATCGAATCTAGACACACCCCTAATGTAAAATGATGATGGCACACCAGACTGTAATCCAGAGATCAACTCAATCTTCAGAACTGTTGGGACCAGAAATGAATCATTCAGGCTCTGGAAAGACAGAGATCCTCAACCAATATGAGAGATCAACTCCATCCAAAACCAGTGGTACCAGAAATGGTTCATCTGTCCCATAATAGGAAGAAGGCCTCTACCATTCACCTCAAATGTTAGGATTTATGTTGGTTAGTCCAACTCTAATCCAAAAACCAGACCACCCAGGAATCAACATGCAGGCAGTGGTAGGATGAGAGATCCCAACCAAACAGGTGAACTGCCCTTATTGGTGGATCATTTTTAGTCCACAACCAAACTGCAATGGGAAAAAAATCTGTGCCACAGTAGGAGGAGGGTTTTTCATCCTCTACATCTCAGCAGCACTCAGCAGCGGTAAGGACTACTGTACTTCACTAGGGCGGGATACATTTGGGAGTTCGAAGGAACGCAGCACTGGAAAACAGTGCACTGAGTAACCGCAAGCCCTATTTTGAAAAGCAGACTGATCCCGATTTTGTCGATCTAAGGATCGGAAAGGATGGGGAGCAATCCTCTCATGCATTACTCTTGCTAGTCCACAAATGTACAGTCCAAGACGAACATATTTCAAAGGTTCAAAAGGGGGAAGGGACAGAAAATTAAGGACAAAATTAAGATTCCATTCCCAAAGTTGAAAGAGTTGGTAAGAACGAAGGATCTGGAATGATCGGTACAAAAGGGATATTACCAAAGAGGAAAAAACATGTCAGAACTCAGAAAAATGGAAAATAGAGAATAAAGCAGCCCAACAGTCTGCAATAGTTGACACAGAGAGACCCTTCTAAAACAACCAAGAAATGAAGTCTGAAATATGAGGGAGAGAAGGGCAAGAAGGAATGAGGCCATGATATACCGACCAAAAACACTGCATTTACCTGATACACAGATAAAGAGGAAGGATGGACAAAACAGGAAATAAGGGATGCTACCTAAGTGGAAAGATCAGTCTGTCTGGCAAGGGACCAGACAAAAGCCACGTGTAAAGCCAGAGTGTAGAATGGGTGAAACTGGCATGAGGTTGACAAAGAAGAAATGAGGAGAGAGGAGGAAATAAAAGTGGTGTTAACTGGAAGGGCTAAGGTAGTGCAAACCAAGTTTGAACCTGCCATAACAGTGCTATCAGAAGTACAAGACAAGGCGTGGATTGAATGATGGACAGTACATGGGGAAGAAGACAGATGGAAGGATAAACAAATATATATATATATATATACAGGTTCTTCCATTCTTGGCAGAATGCAACCATTGCTGAAATTGAAAGATGTGGAACAGGAGACCAAAAAAGAGAGTTTTGTATTCTGATGGTTGACAAAAGCATCCAACTGAAAGCAGAACCACTGGAAGACCTGTGGATTGAGGGACCACCCCATGGAGATAATCCTATCGGGATGAGATAACCAAACTGCAACCTGATTGAATGCACTTGGAATATGGCAAGCTTTCAGGTGAATCCACTGGCTGTGTGCCCAATTCAGAAGGTCCAATGTTTGAAAACATAGGGACTGAGAATGAGTGCCCTCTGCCAGGTGGTGTAAGAGACCACAGTTGAATTGTCAGAATGGATCATGACTGTCTTGTCCTGGAGAAGAGGAAGAAAATAATCCAGAGCCCAACAAACCTCCAACAGTTCCAGGAGAATGATATGAAACTTACCACCAACCAGATATTTCCCGAGCATCCAAATATGCCCCCCAACCTGACAGAGATGTATCTGTAAAAAGATGTAAATCAGGTCTGGAAAGTGGAAGAGGAACTCCAGTCATGGTGTTGTCTCTGTTTAGGTAAAGTCTGTTTGCAGGGAGGAAGGAAGGGAAATACTAGAATCCAGGAGATCTCTGGCAAGGACCCATTGATTGTGTACAACGCAATGAAGAGATCTCATGTAAGCCTGACACAGAGGAGTTAGGGTTTCCATGAATGCCCAAGTCTCCAAAAGTGATATAACCTCTCGCATGGGTAGCGTAGGAGAGGATTGTGCCTTTTGAGCTGCTAGCTCCATGTACTGAAGATGAACTGGAGATGGTTGGAGCCAGACTGAGGTATGAGTTGAAAAAAGACCCCAAGATGAACCAGATATTGATTTGGGGTCAGTACAGACTTAGATTTCTCCACCTTGACCAACAAACAAAAATGTGCAGCTTTTAGAGAAAAAACTGATAAAAGATAAAAAATAAAAGTGTCTTAAAAAATAATGTGACATAAACTCAAAGTTTTCTAAAAATTGAAACTATAATATCAAATGTGCTCAATAAATGATTTGTAAACTACAACTCAACTTCCAGTATTTAAAAACTTTAGAAAGAATGTTTATCTTAACTTAATCAAAAATGAATTACCAGTTTCTGTCCAGTTGGACTGGAGTAATAAATATCAGCCATTCTCCCCTTCTTGTTTTGAAGTTTGCCTTCTACAACTGCTCGAAAAACTATTTCTCTTTTCCATCCTGAGAAAGATAATATACAAAGAACTGAAAATCCTTATAATAAGTGAATTAAAACCAGGATAAAAAACTATAATTCAAATAAAAAAAGAACCTGTTACTTTCAGTTTGACTGTATGTTTTATCATTGTAGCTGAAACAAATATCAGAATATCTAAATGAGTATACTTCTTCAAGAATATTGTAACCAAATGCTTGGTATTTTCTAACACATCATATTTTTAAGTACTATTCCTGTGTTGTAAACAGCTCCAATGACACTTTTATTATCGAATGCAAAACACAAACAAGTTAAACCAATTACAACCTCTGAATACATATTGTCATGTCTATCAATCATCATAACATTAAATGGCATTTTAATAAACAAAATCAACTCAAAATCATTATTCAATACAGCACATAATGTTTATAATTCTGAATGTTATAATCATGATGCTCTGTACAATAATTGCAATAGATAATTTCCTCTTAGATTCATTACACTCTCCCCAATATAGTGAGTGTGTGTGAAGCATAATGAGCTCTTGAGAGGTTGTACTTTGATGAAAAACATTTTAGATAAAAATACTCAGTTCACATGACATACTTGCATGACAGAATAAATACTAGAACTTTTCAAATCTATGAGTGAAGAACCTAACAATGCCAAATAGAAATAAATACAAATGTGGACCCACTGGTGGTTAATGTCTGTAACAGCATCAAAAATTAATAAAATTGCCAACTGGAAAGAAATTATTAATTAAGGCCAAAAATAACATAGCCAAGTTGAATGTAGAATGCTCTGATGTATGCATGTCACGATCATTTTCAGCACTAGCTATGTAATCCTGAATGCAGGTAATTTTGAGGATAAAGACAATAATGAATATTTAGTATATTCGATTACTCTATTGTTTACAGCCTGTAAATTTTATTACTAATATTAATACTCCAAGTAAATACTTCCAACTTACAGTAAACATGGTACAACAAATATAAGGATGTTTATATTGTACAGGGTGCATAATGGTGGAATTGTTTATGGCAATACCTGTATCTTTATTGTCAAATATTCAAATACAATTCAAATAAGTAATGAATATTTGAAAAGTTACAGTTTGTTTCAGCTTTAGTTATTATAAAAGGTATCTATAAAAGTCTGAGTAAAGTCTTAAATCATGAATTTTTCAAATCATTGCAACAACAAAAAATAAAAATTGCTCATTTTAAATTGTTTTATTCTTATTCCTAAAAAAAATCCTGAATACAACTTAGTTTAAGCTGTCACATCATAACTCACCATGCTGAAAAGGTTTTTTATACGATTCATTTTCGAGAGTTTCAAGCTTTGGAGGTTCATCATTTTCTTCTCTTCTTGGTGTTGCTGGAGAAAACATTCAAAGAGAGACTTTATATTTATATTTTATTTTTCTTACTAGCCACAGTTCTAGTGTACTAAAAGTTATCAAGTACAAACATGAAGATCAATTTTATTAAGGAATATATGATTAAAAACTCATTTATTGTAATAAGATTTTAATTAAAAAAAGCATTAAAGTTTAATTTCTAATACAGCATTGTCCATTTAGGAAGTAATTGATTTTTTTTACTGAAAATGTCCTTGAATAAAATAATTAAGCACAGATGTAGTAAATAAAAAATTATAAATACTTCATCTATAAAATCCAACAGGTAACATACTGTCTTAGATTGATGCATACAGTAGACAAGCATGCTTTATAAAGACATTTATACTATTACCCACAATGTGTCATGTTTCTGGATTTATGTTAGAAAAAGTTAAACAATCAAATTAAAATAATCATACCACTTAGGATTTCAGGGAAGGCAGCCAGTTAACAGCACCCACCCTTAATTCCTGGGCTAGTCTTCTCTGATCAAATAATGGGATTTGACTATTATGCTTAACAGTACACTCATGCCCTCAAAGTACACAGTGTACTTTTATGACAACAGACCATGTACCATGGATTCACAGTTTGGGCACACTAACCATTATGCTATGCTCAACCCAACTTTAAAAGAGAATAAATTCATTAAAATTATGAGAAATTTGTGATCATAAGGTAAAATTTCAAGAACAAAATTTTCACCCCAACAAGAAACTTGCTTAGTAAAATTCCATGGTGCACCAGATCAACAAGCACACAACTTGTATCGTTTACTTATATACAGAAAAGATGTCATCCTGCCCCTTTTACTTCCTGATCTGTCCAAGTTGCATAAATTACAATAATTAAATTTTAATAATAATCACAGCAATATTATAAACATTCTGAAGGAAACAAAACCTTTTTTCATAACTATGATTTCAGATCCAAATCAGACTGAAAGTAGCATTGCAACATTCATTGTAGAACGGCATCCAACTGAACTTGAAAATATACATACAACTTCAGTCAAATACTATGTGTTAAGGAATTTACTGCTGTAATGTCATTTACTAATAGTTAGTTAAGAATTGAACAACTCTGTATAAACCATTATCAGTGATAGAAAAGTCCAACCAAAGGAGCTCAGTCATGCACTTAAGTCACAATAATGTGCACATATAAATCTTGACTGCTAAATCTTTAGTGAAATAATATTTATAAATTTCTGCAAGAAGACCTAAGCTTTGCTTTAATCTCTGAATCAAATTTTGATCTTCCTTCCTGAACAAGAATTCAATAGCACAAAGCGTATTATTTATTCTTCACTGGTCAAACTACTAAATATTTTTGACAGTCAGCAGGTACAAGTTAGGAACATAAGTCAATTACAGTTATGTGATACTAAAGAATAAAACAACTGTAAACAAATACTATAGTTGAGTTTAGAGCTGGGAGACTTAATCAATATAACTGATTACCTATGAGCAGCAATTACATTGTTTAGAGTCACATAAAGTAATCAATTTATTGATATTAGTTGTTTCGATTGCTACTGTTTTCGATTATTCCAACAATCAATTAATTGAAATTACGATTAACTTGATTTTCATGAAACTAATCAACTAATCCCATCTAAGGGACAAGTATGACTCCATGACTAAATGAGGTAGGACCAAGAAGCAGTTCAGAGCCAATAGCTCTATGACAGGGCACTAGTCCCCAGACACCTTGGGGACAACAAACAGATCAGAATAAAAACCCAGATGAGAGGAATCCCCCAGTTGATGCTACCTTTATGAAGCAGGTCCAGCACCACCACTAAAAGATGCTGGCAGTAAATTGGGTCCAGAGTAGGAGGTAGGTAAATGTGATGGTGGGATAACAGAGGAGGAGAATTGAAACAGAAGACCAGACTCTCTAAGACAAACTACAAAACCCAAAGGTACATAGCAAAGGCCCACTAGATGCAAGCAAAGCAGAGGAGCCCAGCCCTCACACGATCTGAAGCTACTACAAAGCCTCTGAGACTGTCGGTTGCCCCAGAAAGGTGCCACTAGTATTGGTAGTGAACCACAGGAATATGAGAGGTTGGAATCCAAAAGGAGAGGAAGGAGGAGAGTGAGACACAGGAGGGAGTTGAGACAAATGGGACGATGATGAGGAAAGGGAGGAATGCAACCATACCTGATGCCATTTGGAGCTCCAAATGCAACTCAAAAATCGAAAAGAAAAGATTTGAAAAAAATGTGTGTGTTTGGAATAACACTTGAAACATGAGTAAGTAAAATTAATGAACTAGTAAACAAAAATGCAATTAATCAACACAAATTCAAAAAAGGAAACAAGTAAGAAAGCATGAGCAAAAACATCCTATCAGTAAGAAGTGGTTATGGAATGCATGAAAGAGAGGGCGCTAGTGAGAATAGGAGTTGTGTCTCACTCCTATTAGTGGAGGGTTGCTGCATGATCACTTGCATGATAGCATGCAGATGTCTCACGTGAATACAGGTGAGAGTATCAAGGCTAGTACCAAGCAAAAACTTGCTCATATAGAGGGCAGTATAAGTCGAGAAAAACTATTTGTGAGATGAGGTGAGATATCGTATTGGAAAAAAGTTTCTTGAGCTGACATACTGATTAGGTAATTTTACACATTTTAAGTTGTTTTTCATTAAATATGATATTGTATTGATAGGTAAATGCATTTGTTATTACTTTTATACTTCACAGTAAATGATAATGGTATGTTTTCATGAAGCCACAAAAAGAGTTTATTCTACTTTCTCATTTCATACTGTTATCATAATCATTAAAAAAAAAATATTTGATCTTATGTACTGTTATTTAGCAAACAATACACTCAAAAGCAAAGAAATAAAATGGAAAGTAAAAACAACTCTTCTTGTCTTATTATTGTCTTATTTTGCTAATAACAGCTAATTTTCTGCAAATGAGGAAATTTTCAGTAAGCAGAGAACTAAGAAAAAAAATTATGCATGAACCTTAACATTGAAAACAAGTCAAAATGAGTCAAAATTATACAAGATTCTATACTAAAACCTCACTTAGATGAAATAAAAGTATAAAAATTTACCTTTACTTTCAGTGTCTGCAGGTGATGCTGAATACTTCCTTTTAGCTCCTCCAGATAATGGTTTTCCAACTTGTTCTTTATGAAATCCATTATGAGATAGTGTTTTGAGGTGTGCAGTGGTATACACAGTTCCTGCTTTTATTTTTTCAGCTTCTTGTTTCACAAAAGACTTGTACTCTTTCATTATTTCTAAAGGACGTGATGGAGTTTTTAAAGATGCTTCATCTAACTCAGAATCAACAGATGATGTCCTCATAGTGCTTTCTATGGTAGACCTTTCTGGTTAAAAATTATCATTATATATTTATGAAAAACGATTATAGTACATACACATACATTTTACTTCTACAAACATGCAAAACAGATTATATGATGGGTTGATATATGTTTTGTCTACTAGATAACAATTATAACAAAAAAAGTGGAAGTCTACATTTTCCAATACTGACAATGTATTTCTGATAATACTTACCTCTACTCACACTTTAGCTTTACCCCCACAATAGTTTCTCTTCTTTTTCCATCTAAGCATTGATATAAATTCTATCTCACTTGCTCCAGTCTTTTTATCCCACTATGTCACCCCTAGTGATTTTAATCTTGTGACTCCCTCCACCTACATCAATGTGCCCTTTATACCTGATCCATATATAAGCTCCTCGTTATTCTTTCTTATTCACTTTTTGAGGCAGGCAAGATTATCAGACCCAAACTCCAGCTATCATGGGGAGGAAAGGTTGAAAAGGTGTGAGAAGAGGTAAGTATTATTAGAAATATATTTTTGGTACAGGAAAATGTAAACTTCTGAAACACACTTACCTTCTCTCAAGCTTTAGCTAGAATCCACACTGACTAGGTGGATGGGCCAGTGAGAGCTAGATCCACACAGAAAGCATCTGCATAGAAAAACAGGTTTGCAAAGTTGAGATATAATAAAGCACACTAGTGGGGGTCCACACTACTTCTGGAACAGGTATGCTCTTCGCTCCCAGATAAAGTGAAATCTAAACGTGAGTGGTCAAGGGCAACTGAGGCAACACTGTTCATTATCATGAGATTCGTCTAGGACCCAACCACATATACAAGGTTTCACATCTTGTCATTAGAATTATAAAGCTGAGGACACAAAACTAGATCCAAGATGTAGTGGCTAGGGCATGAGGACTATAATATGATATAACTGTATAATAGGAAGATGACATGAAGAGAACCCAACCTGAAAGTTACAGGATGTTGCATGTAGAGCCACAGGAACTACAAAGAGAAGGCAAGCAACATTTAAGTGGACAAACCCTCACTGTAAGCACAAAATGCAACAAACTGAACTCGAAATTATGGGCCCCAGCACCCAACCTGAAAGTTACAGAATGTCACATGTGAGCCACCGGAATTATGAAGGGAAGGCAAGCAACATCCAACTGGACAAGTCTTCCCCCAACCTGAAGAAGCTCAGAATGCAACAAACTGAACTCAGAATTATGGAGCCAATTCACACCTCACTCAATCTGAAGATACAGAGATCATCCAGCCTTAGATTATGAACCTAGCTGAATCCTAGCTACTCAACCTGGGAGACAAGGTAACACCTCCTGCCCCTGGAATTATGAGGAGGATGTGGAACAACCGAAATTTAGCCAATGGCTTATGGATGTGATTCTATGTGTGCAGAATTACAAGTCAAGGACCCTCTTCTGTTATTATGGAAAGTAAGAAAATGACTAAAAAGAAGGGCCATGCTCACATAACCGGATAGCAAAGTGTCTTCTCTGAACTGGAATTATGAGGAGGCTCCCATGTAGGTTGGACCGCCTCCTCACCCACCATCTGGGAAAACCATCCAGGGTTAAGGTGGAAGGGTATCCAGCTTTGCCCTCTTCTCCTTGAGTGGAATAAGGAGTACAAACATCACTCCAAAGACTGGAAACTAAGAGTGGTAAGGACTCCCTTGCTCTACTAGAAGAGAGGGTAGAGTTGTGTTGTAGAGTCCTGAGGAACAATGCTCCAGAAACAGTGCATTTGGTGATCCATATTCCTGATTTTGAAAAGCAACCCAACCCCACTTTGTTCAATTCAGAGATTAGCAGGGATGGGCAACATCTCTTTATGCTTTATTCATGATAGTCCATGAGTGGCAGTCCAGTATTGTATGTTATATTTGATATGGAATAATTGTTCACCACCCAGAAAGCATTAAGGCAGTCTTATGGAACACTCCATCTCAACAGAGCTTGCTGCTACCAGGAATTAGTTATTAATCTATTAGTAGCTAATGCAGATTTGCAAAAGTATATCTGACCAGGCAATACTCGCCACTAAGTGAGATCTAAATGAGAATGATGAGAAGGTCCCTGAAAAGGAACGAAGTTACTCATCTCTGTAACAATTGGGCCGGGGAGTGTAGAATAGCCATGGGGTGGCCAAAACCCATCTGAGGAGGAGACTGCTAAATCCTGTAAGTATTGAGATATAAAGATGTTAGGTGTGGTCCATATTCCAGCCCATACAATTCTCTCCAGTGGGAAACACAAACGAGCTGTGAGGGACATTGATATACATCAAACTTGATGAGATGATACCCTAAGAAGTCTCCACTCCTTCAATGAAAGACCAGAGTAAGCTATCTAAACCAACTGATGAATCCAACTTGTCAAAGTGACAGAGGATAAGTCAAGTGATACCAAAAGATCTCATTGGATAAATAACTGGTGACAGAACAGGGTATAGAAAAATTATCCAGATCTGAATGGTCTTAAGTTGGAAATGGAGGGAAGATGAAAAGGAGAGAAAGCCTTACCTCCCTCCCTAGCTGTTACATTTTTAGGTAGAAAGGACCTGTATGGATACCACAGAACATAATTGGAATGGTACAGTGTGAACATGAAGTGCAAATACATCTGAACACTGATGCCATTTAGCCAATAACAGAAGAAAATATGTTGTAAGTGAAAGGCAATATAGGGAACATGACCCCAAAGTTTCAAAAGGTAGACATGTTAATGCATGTAGAACCACTGTGATATTCCAATTAGGAACCTGGAAAGGGTGACAAGGATAGATAACCGGAAATGATTTCAAAAAAGTAATGACAAAACAGAGGACTCAAAACTAAACTTCTCTTACAAAAACAAAAAGTATCTGATAAGGCAGCATTATACAAGGCAACAGACAAAGTCACCAAATCTTTGTCAAACAACCATGTCAAAAATTGAGAGACACGTGATGCAGTGGGACATGAAGGGTTAAACCCATGTCTGAGAGATCATTGATGATAAGTAAACCACTTCATTTGATAAACTTCCAAAGAATGATGTCGATTGAAAGATGTTAATAAGGATGCCACTCAAGACGTCAATCCCTGGTGTCATACAATGGCCACATAAAAGCCAAGCACAAAGTGACTGCTGAATGAAAAATGTCCAACCAAGGTTGATGTGAGAGAGATGGCCAGGGAGGAAGGGGAAGAGGCTGACACTCCTGAAGATACTGGAAGAGTGGAAACCAGGGTTGACACAGCCAATGTGGTGCCACCAGAAGAACTTGACATGACCTGGAGGAAATCAGTACCAGAACCTTGGAGAGTACACGAATTGGAGGGAATGCAGAAAGATGAAGACCTGTCCAATCCTGGCTGAGAGCATCTACTCCCAAAGCAGAGGGTGAGGTACTGGGGACCAGAAGAACAGGAGCTGGGCAGTCCAGTGTGTGGCAAAAGCATTGATCTGTGATGACCCTAGACAAGAGCAGATCCAACACAAAACTTGAGGATGAAGCATCTATTCTGTAGGAAGAGCCCTGTTGGGATGAGGTAACTGGTCAGTCACTAGATTCATTATCCCTGGAACATGACAAGCAAGGAGAATAATTTGGTGTTTGTATGCCCAAAGAAGAAGATCCCATTGTTCTGAAACAAAGATCTGCAGTGACTGCCCCCTTACTTTGAAATGTATGACACTACTGTGGAATGGTGGGAAGGGGCAAGAAGAAGTCAGTCATTCATGGAATGGTGACTGTGAATGCCAGGGGAGTGAAGATGATAAAGAAAAACTCTGACTATCCAGCAAAAAAGGTATGGAGCAGATGCAAGGCCAAATGGCAGTGAATGAAACTGAAAAACCTGGTAATTGTGCATGAAACAGAGAGAATGCCTTGAAGACTCAGTAACTGAGATATGAAGGTAGGCACCAAAGGGAAAGAAACTACTCCACTGTAAACTAAGGAAGTGATGGAGACGACAAAAGTTGATGACCAGTCACCAACTGTCTGTCCTTTCGGTACGACTAACAGTTGAGAGTAAATAACCTCAAGAGGAGGTGACACACTCTATGGTCACTTTGTGCAGATTATCCTGGATAACTTGTGCTTGATAGTTGGAAGTAAAAAGGTCCTTGGGAGTGGAAAGCCAACCAGTATGAGCAACAGAGGAGGAGATGTGAACTGACTGACCAATCTGCTTCTGAGAGCTTGAATGACCCACTGATCTGTGGTGAATGTCTCCCATACTGACCTGAACCTTCTGAGACAAGACCCCAAATGACCTGACCCCATAAGTTAGTCACAGATGCCAAAATCTGCATTTCACACTGGAGGAGGATCCCACTGATAAGATCGAAATCACCCTTATGTTTTAATGAATCATGGCATTGAAGCAGGAGGTTTGGAAACTCAAACAAGAGATGCAGTAAACCATCCTGTAGAAGAACTTTGGGACAGTCAAGAAGCCAGTGTAGTAGAGGCAAGGCACTTAACAACAATTTAATGGGAGAAGGACAGGTGTGTAAGGAACACCTTTAAAGACCCAATGGTCCCTTGTTGTCCATATGTCAAAAAAAAATCACTGTTATTCCATTTGTAAAAAATTCCAAAGCATATATTATTTCACAAACATTAATCAATTTAGGATATGATGTACATTATTGCAACTTGTTTAACTTGATTTTATTTTTGAAGAGAATAAACAAAGTCATAACTGCAAACTTAAAAAATGAAACCGTATTAAAAAAGATTCCTTTCAGCAAGTTTATTTAACAGTAATATATATAAATAATATATATTATACTATACAATAATTTATTACTAAAAGAAATGAGCAATAAGATTAGTAAAAAAAAATTACAATTAGTAACATACATAAACAGACACAAGTAATATATACTATGTAATAATTCATTAATGAAACAAAGAAGCATTTAAGATTACAATGTTATACTATCCAATGTTCAAGACCAATCAAACTATTATGCATTTTTTGCTGTTTTCTAACAGATTAAATTTCTTCCAATATGTATCAAATGCATTTGCCCAGTACTGATAAATTCATTCAATCTTTTTTTTTTAAGTTGCTGGAGAATGAAAGAAAGTAGAAGGGTGTGTGTAGTAGGTCTAGGTATCTCATCTCGCATCCAAAAGCTTTAGCATTCACAAAACATAAAAAATGCTGTTTTCAAATAGTAAATTCCAATTTTTTCAACTTTCATTATATTAAAAGAATGTACAGTTTATTATAAAACTTACAACTAATAGGTTAACTTTAAAACTTGCACCTTTATATGTACTGGCCTAACCTGGTTTGGTTGGTAACAAAATGATGCACTTCCCTTCATAATGGGTCTAGCTATGCCAGCATATATGAGCCTGACTCTTTTCAGGACATTTATTAAAAACACTGAATTCACAGTGTAGTACAGTAAAAATATATTAAATTTCTAAAAAAAAACCATCCAATATGACTAAGAACTGCTCAGCTTTTCTTTAAAACTGACAATTTGTTATAAGCACAATGACCAATCACAATGAACTACGTAACTATAGTTACCATGATCCAAAGAAAGAAATCAAATTTGCATCATGTTGAATTTTTTCAAGTTTCAATTTCAGGAACACATTTCATTCTTTTAAATGCAATTCCTAAAACAAAAGCAGGTTAAATGGATATGAAGTTAACATTTTCCCTACTTGAAAATGTGTTTTTGAGAAATACTTACCTCACTACAGAACAGATATCTTACACCCCATTTCCAAGCCAAAATGTTTTTTTATGTGCTCCAGTACCTGTCTATACTGCAAGCAGCATTAGACTATATTCCTCCACCAACAGAAGGATGACACATCCTCTTTACCTATTACTCCTCTTGATCACTTTGTCTATATCAATAACTTGTTCTTGACAAAGCAGAAGATACATGTGAGTAGAGGGTAGGAAGGGTGAGTGGTTCTATGAAGGGGTGAGTGAGTATTTATCTGAAATACATTTTTAGGTGAGGCAAGTGTTATCTTCAGAACACGTTACTCATCTTTTCATAGAAAAGATAGCTAGATTCTGATGTGAAGATAGTGAATGGAGGGGATCAATGCAGAGAAAGAAATTAATAGGATGAGCTCTTTTCTGAAAATATAATGTTAGAAAGAGAGATCTCACAGATGTGTGTGTATGTGTGTGATTGTGGAGGGGGGGGGGAGCTAATGAGTACATCATCCAGTGGATGACCTCACCCATCTCAAAAAGGAAATACTCTTCTCCCAGTACAAGCAGTAGTTCAAAAAGTTTCTGTCAAAATAACTTCCTTCATAAAGCTATAGTGTTGCAAAGTGGGGAGAATGTGAAGACTGTTCATCACCTATATATCCTAGGGGTTGGTAGATCACATAAGACAAAGGGAATATTTCAACCCATACAGTATGTAAGAAACACTTACAAGAATAAGCAGGTAGGAGAAGTACATGTTCTCCTACTCCACTATAAGAAATTAGTATGGAAGAATTCTAGGAATACCACAGGCTGGTGGACCACACACAAAAAATTCCATCATACAGTCACTCATTAAGACTGTGTAATGTGTTACTGTGAATAGGGATAGCAGAAGCTTGCCAGTTGAGTGGGTTTGGAACTACAATTAGTGCTGTTCTTTTTTTTCTTTGTATTGTACTCTTTTGTATTTCTTTGTAAATAAATACCGCTGAAGCAGTCTTGCAGAACACTGTCTAAAAAGCAAACACTGAATATGAACAGATGAGCTTAACAATTCCTACATGCAGATTTTGAGAGAGAGAAGTATTCAGTGTAAGGCAACACCAGCAATGTTCCATTCAGAGGTAGGCAGCTAGAGGAGGAAAAGGCCATACCTGTTAAAGTATTTTGAAAAATAAAATAAATCTTATGTTCTATATTAATGCCTACATTTTATTTGTTTTGCATAAAAAATTATTGAAAATCTGTATATTTTTTTTAGCAAAAGGCTCAAAGATTTTCTTGTCCCACTATATACTATTCTTCAAGGTGAAATCTTTTGGTATGAGGCACAGACCAGTTGTGCCACTTGGCTAATTTTTTATCTGTACAATGTGTCTATACTTGTGAAGGAAACAGCCAAAATGAGCCACATCTTCATATCAGGTTTAGTAATAAAATTTTTAGACTGGCCACACAGCTAATGGGGCTGATCAGAATCTAGTTTAAAAACAACCAATGTTCATCATTTTAAGAAAAGATTTCAATAAGAGGAGAAAGCAAGCTCATAAGGTCACATTAATTAGTGGCTGATACAAGTTTAACAATCTTGTGATCATTTAGTGTTTCTAAGATAAATACAATTAAAAAGTAAGTTTCATTAAATGACTGACATTTACTTGGTTAGAATCTTGTTTTGGAGTTTATTTCTGAGTTCTACAATTGACTCAATAGTTAGGCTTTAATTAACATGATGGTAGTTGTTGGTTACCAACATGTTAATTAAGAATGGTTGTTTTTGGAGCCAACTCAGTAAGATTTTTTTATCAGCTACTTTATGAGAAATGTTTTCAAATTATTGTTCCCTCATGGTCTGGACAGTGAAAATTCTGCCTTCTATATGTATATCTGTAGCTCAGCATCCTACCAAAGATGTCCTCATGCTCAGCTCTACCAATGATATACAATTATTTATTTACAATAAATATTTTTATTGCTTATATTTATATAAAAACTAAGCCCATTAAATTAAGCAGTTTAGAGCATAATAATTTAAGCACTATCATAGTAGCTGTAATAGAATAAAATGTAATGAAATCCAACTTTGCATTTCAACTACCGTATTTTTTCAGAATGTAAGATGCACCCTTATTTTGAAGACAAAGGTTTGGGGAAAAAAAG